GACTTCTGATCAGAATTTTAAGTTAACTTTTTTTTTACAAAAAAATATCAATAATTGCAAAAAAACTATTTTTTGCAAATCAATTATTTTTTAAATTTGACGTGCTGGACAAATTTAGTTTGCGGTATCGAATTTCCAATATTGAAAAATCTGTAAGAAACATCTTGTCTGGTTTAAAGAATTTTTTGCTGTAAACTAATGTAGTTCAACAAATCGTGTATGCACGCTTGATAAAAACGCTAATTTGTTTAATGTTGACTAGTATTGAGTGAAGGAAAACAAATGGAAGAAAATACAGTTTTATATACACAATTATTATATATCGTCGATAAATCATCTTGACATAATTCAATGCTTTTACTTATTATTTTATTCTTAATTAATCGTCATTAGATTTCATCATTTTAAATTCATCATTTATAAGAAAAAATTTACAATTGCCACTTTGATATCTCTCATGTACTATATGAGAAGGAACAATACTATTATATATCAAAACTAGTTTTCAATAACCTTCTACAGCAATATTTAAAACAAAATCTATTTAAAATATGATTTATATATACATAGATATAATTTAAAAAGAGCCAGTTGAAGGTTGATTGTTTTTATATTGTTATTTTACTCATATATTACATGAGCCATTTGCAAAGGTATGCTCTCGATATGTAAATGAATTATATACCAGTATTCGTGTAAAAAAACCTACATATTATATGACATCTTTTTTTTATGAAAGAGAGTTATTAGTTCCATTTGTCAAAATAAACACACGTTAAACTTTGATGAATCATTCAACAAGAAGTTGTTTACACATTTTTATTTATTTAACCGATGACTTAACTATTTTATGGAATGGTTTTCATTTCAATGGTATTCTAATTTAAACAATTGTATTTTGAAATTTAAAGTAGGTAATTATATTAAGTATCATATCTAAATGGAGTATTCATAAAGAAATTTTAAACTTTGATATAGTGATATTTAGGAAATTCTAAGTTTTTGAAATGTTTAAAAGATCTGCAAACGTCACAGAGCGCTTTAAAATTTTTAAATGCCCCTTTGATACTTTTCAGATATTTCTCTTTCAGATGTTTCGTCATTATGTGATAACAGAGAATTAAAATATTCCCGATCAATGACATTTCATAATGTTCGCACTAGCCTTATAATTCTATACAGAACTTATAGTACGTAATCCCATAATATGTACATATTACAGTCTATATAATAGACGATTGTTTATTTCACGTATTAACGTTAAATGCAATATGAGTGCCATGATTACTATATATTAATAAATACACAATTTCCTTATACTCACGCGTAATAGAGAAAAGTAGCTTGCGTCAGCTTTTGTTCTCGATACGGTAATTTTTCGTTCGTAATTTATTTATTTTTTGTATTTCCTGCCATATATTGATTTTGCGAATTTTAGTCTTTAGTCAAATCTTGGTCCAAATTGAAAGACTAAAGTTCTGAAATCGCAGTTATCGGAAGGAGAAACGATTAAACATATTTTATGAAGATGTAAAATCAATCAAAATTTGACAGTTAATGTAAAATATCTTAAAGACATCTCTCTTATGATTTAATGTCCCGATTGCGGGCATATTATCTGGGGCACCATCAAAATGAAAAATTGCTTCGAAGAATAAAAACGAAAGTGGACGCTTTTTATACTTGATGTCGCGACATTTTTCATGTCGACCGTCATAAAACGTAATTCTCCGCGTTCGATGGTCGCACGTGCCGATTCGAGACAAGGAAGGAAGATTGTCCCGGTAGTGAGTCAGCCTTCAGTTTCATTATCAGCGTGCTTGTTGGCAGTCATCAGCCGGCAGTTGTTACCGAGTGTGTAGCCCACTACCCCCGCGTCGGAAGAGATATTTCACCCTCTATCTGTCTGTTAGAAACATTTGAAATGGCACAAAATTGGAACAAGGACTATTTTATTCGATACTTTTCGTTTGATCCACAGATCCAATCAATCTACCAATCTATAGATTCCAATATTTGAAGTCGAATTAAATCCTTTATGACGATGGAGTACAATTATAAAAATTTTCTCATTTTAATTCCTTTCAAATTTACTAGATTATTAAAACAGCAAATGTTTGAGCTGATAATACTTAACTCCAAGTTTACAGTGATTTTCTTAAATTTTGCAGATCTACTATGATTCTTCTTTAAAGATATTTCTTCATGTTACATGAAGTACAAGAAGATCAAGAGCATGAAGGGTTAATATCCTTAGACGTTGAACGCTCTTAGAGGATTGTCCAAATCCTCGGAGGAATAATGAATGCATCCCCTCGTTCATTCGCTCGAAGAGGGTAACGAAGAGCGGACGCTAGCGATTGTGGAAGAGGAAGGGCGGGGAGATAAGGGAGAAGGAGAGAATGTCGAGGGACCGTGGGGTCTGTTCCCGTGGGTATAACCCGAATCGAGCGTTCCCAGGAACGCGCACGTGACCCGCGTCAGAAGACGATCAATACGGACTTTGCGAACTCCTACACCCCACTGGAACGACGTGTCGCCCTTGTACAATCCACACACATCCTTCGCCTTCCGACGAGACCGATGGCGACGGCGAACGACCATCATCCCTCCTCGCACGTGTGCGTAGATTGTTGCGCGCACGTGCGCCTATTTACCCCCCCCCCCTCTCTCTCTCTCTCTGTCTATCCCTTCATACCATCCGGCTTCCGTTCTCGATATCGTTGAATCTTCACAGATTTACGGTCTCATGAACGACACTGAAAGAGCATCAGACTGCTTCTTTTAAGTTCAATCTTATTTTTAGAAAATTTAAAGAGACATATAAATATGTTTTATTTTTAATTTTAAATAATGAATGTGTATTTGTATTTATTGAAAATTTTAATCTTAGTAATTATATAATATATCACTTAATCTTTTTTAGTCAAATTAACGAGAAAGTTTTTTTAAATAAAATTCACAAACGTATGAATAATAAATTTTATTTCTTAGTATAATTTTATTTTTCTTTAGTCGTATATCATGCGAATGTATAGAAAATGTCTCAAGATTAAATAGTATATCTTAAAGAAAAATTCTTCGACAAACTTCACCTTTTCTTTTGAATTTAGCTCTTAATTTTAACGATCATTTCCCATTTTTGTTATTGCTGTTCCCAGTGTTTGATTTCTCAGAGATGTAGACTTTAAGGAATTATTTTCCTATTTATATGCCCGTCCTATTTCGACTTTCTATTTCTGCCAATGGAAATTAATCTTGATTCAACTTACCTTTTATCTTTTTCTAATTGTAAGAAAACTTATTCTTTAGCCTTTTCTATAATTCTTAGAAAAAAGATGAACAGTAAATTAAATTGACATTTTAAAATTAATTTACATTAATAGAAATGAACATCAGGCCCGATTTCATCATATAAGATTAACTTTTATCTCGATTCTCTCCCAATTTTATCTTTTTCTAATTCTAAGACTTAGAAATCGTATCTCTTTCTACGAAGAGAAACTTGCTGTTTATTTTTTTTAATTTGTATATAATTAGAAAAAGATAAACAGTAAGTTAAACTGAGATTAAAATTAATCTTACATGGTGGAACGGAGCTTCATGCCCGTTTCTGTCAATGCAATTTAAATTTAATTAGAAAAAGATGAAGAGAGAGAAAGAGAGAGAGAGAGTAAATTGAGCTAAGATTAAAGTTAATCACTGCATTTCTACATTGATAGGAACAGGCATTAGTCAACTTATTTGCGTGATCGAGATAGGATAAGCCACGAGAGAACAGGAATACGTAGCTATTCGCAGGATAAAAACAAACGCA